ACAAAAAAGAGAGAGAACCAGCTCTCCCAATTGTATAAACTTCAGGTCCCGCAGAACCTGAATGCAGGCCTAGGAACAAGTTTTTATAAATCCTTGGCCTTGACTTGCTCCTTATCTCATGGTTTTCTCATCTCCTACTCCTGTAAATGTTTCTTAAGCCTTTTCCAGATTCTATTTCACCTGAGATCTGGGAAGCCAGAACTGTCTAATATTATATGGCAGTGAGTCATCTGAAAGACCCAAGGCCTTGGCTCATATCTGCCAGTTCCCAAAACCTGAAGATCTGCACTCTATTCTCACTGTTCCCTACACTTTCTCAAGGAAGGTTCCCTGAGTTTGAGAACTGGCCTTTCTATAAAATGGAGAACATATTACGTGTTCTGAACCTCCCAGAATGATTAGTTGAATGTTAACAGCATTCCAGAGCAGTGTTTGCCTTACCACATGCAGATTGATAATTAGTTTGACAACTCTTAGCATGAGGCCTACACCCACTTCTGTAGCATTTCCCAGTCATTGTCTCCCACCTGTCCTGCTTTGTCATTCTTGGCATATAACTGCCAAATTCTGACAGTAGATCAATCTCTTGCTTCTTCCAGCCCATTTTCACACATATTTCAGTAACTGACCCCATCAATTTTACTTTTCAAAAGTGAATATGGAATTGAAGAAATCTAGTTGACAGTCATTTAAGGAATAAGGTGAACAGAAATTGATTGGAACATGATACTTGGTGACATTCTTATGAAATATGATCCTCCCAATATTAAAAATCTGACAATTGCAACATATTCTTTACTTTTCCTCTTTATATCTCTTTTTTTCCTATGTCTGTTATTAAAGCATTTTGTTCTTTGTTCCATTTTTAAGAGGCTATTTAACCTTAAGAGCAAACTTTTTCCATTTCATTTTGCCAAATGATTTATTTTAGTTCAAAGTTCCAAAAGGTCAATTTTCAGTTTGATTTTCAGATTACAAAAGAACTCAGATTGAGAAAATATTTATTTTACATTTAATTTACTAGTATACAGTATTGTAGAACAGTATTATATATGGACATTTTTATTTTATGTAAATTAAAAGATAGATAAAGTCCATAAAATCTTGTTAGAGCAATTAGGAGGATACTTTTGACTCCACTTCTAACTGAATAGTTCTTTTTTTTTATAATTATAGATATAAAATTTGTAAAGTCAAAGCATTGTATTCTTTGGGTGTTTAGGCTGAAATCTTTACAATAGTCAGGAAAAAAGAAACAAAGATTGTTTGGAGGAACCAGTGCCCCTTGACATGGTCCAGAAAGTGCACTGCCAATTATTTCTGGACATCATTGCTACTCTGTTAGGGGGAGCAGTTTGGGGCATTCTGGGTTTATGGAACAAAGGGGTCTAATGTCCCCTGAGGAATGTTTAAGCTTGATTCCTAACCTATCCTAGAGAAACCTACTAAACATATCTGAGACCACAGGGATCCTAATTTTGGTGATTTGTCTTTTGGAGCAGTTAGATGAGATATCAAGATTCTTTAATTAATTTTATAGTCTTCTTTTGTGTTTAAATTACATTAAAAAAAAACAAAAAAAACCAAGACTATGTATCCGATCTGTATCCCACACACATCTTTAGGACAATCTTGGGTCCTGTTCACATAATACTACCAAATATCAATGTATTTGTCATATGTAGTCACTGTTTATCATAAAATAATTGCAAAAATGGCAACAATTATCCATTTCTTTTTCCTGCTCCATAAATCAGGACTTGCCCTATATATATATATATATATATATATATATATATATATATATATATATATATATATATATATATATGGCAGAGCTGGCATTGTGTTGAGCCTAGAGCTCCAGAGGATCCTGCGTGTCTATGCAGAATCTCTCAGAAGACTGCTGCTGCCTTTCTATCATGCTCTAGCTATTCTACTGGTAGAGGAGAGGCCTCATCCATAATAGAGATGGGTCATTTTAGCTCCAGCCATCTTGGACCAGCCAGCTGATCACAGACAACCATGAGCAAGTCCTCCGAGATCAGCCAAATCCAGCCCAGATTAGCAGAACTGCCCAATCAATTTATACAATTATGGGATAAATACATGGTTTTTGTTTTGTTTTAATATACTATATTTTGGGATACTTAATTATAAAGTAATCACTAACTGATACTTTCTCATCTGATCTATTATAACTATATGTCAACAACTGTGTGCTAGTCAACAGAATGTAAAGATAATAATAATCCCAGATTGGTTCCATGATCTTAATTGGTTCCATTAAACTGGTTTGTAGACATCTGCACATTAAAGCATCTATGCCCTATAGTCTAATGTAAGATTGTCAGTCAGCTTCCCCAAATAAGTCAATGTTTTTCTAGTAGATAAAAGGAGATCATTGTTCTGAAGAGAGAGACAGAGACAATAGAGAAACAGAGACACAAAGAATTAAGTGCACTGTGGGACCTGGAGCTAGTTCTGCATGGTTTGACATAGGCACAAAGGAAAAGTGGGAATTCAACTGAGAAGGACTGGAGAGTGACCAAATCATTGAAAACCTTCTCTGTGCCTTACTAAGGAATGATTCCTTAGGACAGTTATTTTCAGTCATCTTCTGTGGCACCCTTGGGATCTGATGCTTTAATGGAATGTAGATGTTAAAGGAGGCTGAGCTGGTAGAAATTGGGTACTCCAATTATACGCCTTCATGATTTTGCCTATCACCCAAACAATAGATACTTCCCACTCAAAGTCACTTTTCTTTATTTCATATGTGGTGGTGAAATAATTTGGGGGGATTGGTGAAGGGAGAAGGATGTTTTACCTTCTCCCTGAGTTATCTACGTGGCATTTCTCTCTCCTTTCAAATTTCTCTATCAGCTGCTTCACAGTTTTGCTTCTTGTTACCACTGAAACTCCTGAGTGACATCCTTTAGCTGGGTACTGATCCCTTGATAGGTCATTGGTGGATTGGTGAGTGTCTGTTGGGCCTCACTTCCTTTTTTTCCATCTCCTTTTCTACTTTGTAACACAATAACAAGAGAATATATGAGAATCCACTTTTGCTAAAATGGTGGGTTAAAGGGAATGTCAAGGGAGAGGCTCTTACATTTTGTCTGGAGTACTGGAGACCAGTCTGATCTCTCTTGTGTTCCATTTAGGCAGAATGAAAATATCTCAGAATATGTGTTTAAAACTGATAATAATTTTGAAATAAAATTCTGCTTTTCTAAAGATATTTTATTCCACACAAAGATTAAAGACTAAATGAAAATAAATTTTAGTCATATATGGAATAAAGGGAAATATAGGTAAAGATTTTTATAACTGTATTTGGGGCATTTTTTTTTACTGAAATACTATATTAAATAAAGAGTCCATGAAGAAAAAAATTCTAAATGTAAGTTTAAAAATAAATTAACTTGAAAGACAAATTTTAAACTGTGTATTTTGAGTCATGAATATCTGATAATTAAATTCTTACTAAATTGATTCCATAGAAAATAATATTAAAGAGAAAGATACCAATGGAAAAATGGGCAAATAATTCAAATAATTGACATGCACACATATATAGGTATATTCATAGGCACTCATGTATAAAACAGATAAAGTAACTAACAAAAATCTCAACAGTGTGTTTATTAAAATACATTTTGAACATAAAATTTATTTTATAGATAAACTAGAGGCCTGCTACATGAATTAATGAATGGGTGAGGTCTGGCTAGACCGCTCTAATGGGGCCCATAGGCCAGGCAAGCAGGTGGGAGGGGCTGCAGGCAGTTGGCTGGCCAGCCCCACCCCTGACTGTGGTGTTGGAGGATGTTGGGGGTGGAGCTGGCCAGGGGGAGGGGCTGCAGATAGTTGGCCAGCCATTCCACCCCCAATTGGGGTGTTGGGGGCCAATCAGGACCTGGATCAGGCTGGTTGGCTGCTGCAGTGCGTGGCATAGTCACCAGTCGTTCTGGTCATTCTGGTTATCCTGCCATTCTGGCAGGTGGGCTTTTATACATAGAGATAATGAGTGATGTGACAAAATGTTTAAAATGCATTAATAAACCACAAAAAAACACATTACAAAGCAATATATACAGTATTATTCTATCTCATTAACAAATATGTGTCATATACTGGTATGTGTTAGAAAAAGGAAAAAACATAAAGTAACATTTTAAGAGTTATTTGTGAATAGTGTAATTGTGGATAATTATTTTTTTCTTTATCAGTTTATCTACTTTATAACTTAATTTTATATTATTTTATATTTCCAAAAACAATACAAAATAAGTGTACTTTTTTTTCTGATTAGACCAGGACGGAACAACTGAAGTTTTGGTAGCAAACAGAATTTGCTATAATTTACGTGGTTGGAGTGTTTGCATTTCTAACGTGATAGGTCAAACAGATGTCACTACTTAAAAATTCCTCTTCATGACACTAAGCAGATTGGTTTCTACGTAACCACTTTCCCAGAGCACTTTTCCCTTAAGAAAACTCTAACCACAACCATCTGCACAACTATGTCCCTCCTTGAACAAAATATTAATCTCATTTGAACATTTTAAAAATTACTCAACACTAATATTACCAAAGAATTGCATAAAAGGTCAGTTCATTAAATATGAAAATACAATTATCAGTACATTATTATTGATATGACATTTAATGTAAAAAGGGAGCTCATGGAATATTTAGTATAAATACTTTGCTGACTTAAGATCTCTTCTAAAGTTTTCTTAACATTAACACCATAATTCCTTTTCGGTTATTTATTAGACTTTAAAAGAAGAGTACTTTATGTTCTCTCTCCTCTCTTTTTTAATAACTTACACACTCCAGAAAATTCAAATGAACATGAAGACATAAACTATAGAACTACAGTTCTACTTGTTAGAATGAAAAAACAATAGAGAAAAAAGTATAACTCTGTACTGCTTTCAAGACAACTCATGACATACCAGCTCAACAACTTTTTTTCTCTCCTCTTGTAGACTGACAATTTCCATAGCTGCTCCAAGATGGATTTCATCTCCAAATGTTTAGAAACACCCTAAAGAAATGAAGAATCCACATGTGACAACATAAATGAAACTGGAGGTCATTATGTGATGTGAAATAAACCAGACACAAAAAGACAAATACTTCATACTTCATGATCTCACTTACATGTGGAATTTAAAAAGTTAAACTTACAGGATGGTGATTGCCAGAGGCTGGGGTTGAGGAAATGGGAAACTATTGGTATAGGGTACAAAATTATTCATTTATGAGTAAGTTCTGGGCAATGTACAGCATGGTGACTATAGTAAGTAATACTATTTTGTATGCTTGAAATTTGCTAAGTGAATAGATTGTAAGTGTTCTACACACACACACACACACACACACACACACACACACACATACCAAGGTAACTCTGGGATGTGTTGATTAATTTATTGTGGTAATGTATATAAAATTATTTGATATACAGTCCCCCCAAATCACATTGTATATCCTCAATGAGTGATTTTCAACCAGTGTGCGGCAAATATTTTTAAAACATACAATATCTGACTGTTTAGTCAGAGGCACTGACTTCTTTTCCCTTAGATTGTCAGATAAATAATAATAATAATAAAATGGCAAAAGCCAGCACAACCATCCAATATAAATGGATTAAAACATTACCATTCTTTTTGCGAGATTGGCAAAAAAAAAAAAAAAAAAATATATATATATATATATATATATATATATATATATATATATATATATATATATATTTCTCTGTGTATTGCAAATTTTAGTGATTATATATATATCACTAAAATTTATAGTGACTAATGTGACTGTCTGACTATCCGACCAGTAGTTATGACATACATTGGCCACCAAGGGGAAGACGCTCAATGAAGGAGCTACTGAGCTGTGGTGACTTGGCAGCGGTGGTTCTTGGATGATGCATCCCTGGAACTAGAGAGGAAGGATCCTAATTCTGGGCTGCATCACCCAAGAAACACCCTCTCGTAATCTGGGACCCCCCAGGGGATGTTGGAGAGCCTGTTAGGGCCCAATCCCTCAGGCCAGGCCAAGGGAACCTACCTGCTGGAGGGACCCCCCACTCACTCCACAGACACCCTTTGAGCTGCAGTGCCACCAAGGGCGGTTGGCTCCAGGGCATGTCTGGCCTGTCTTGCCCAGTCCTACCCCACTGGCCACCTTCTAATTAATTTCCTTTCAATGTGCAAGAATCCATGCACCAGACCACTAGTTAGTTTATGTGTGCCATGATATGAAAAAGGTTTAAATAAGCTGACCTAAATATATGCATTTTTTTAGTCAATCAAACCTCAGTGAACCTGGAAAAATAATAATGAAAAATAAATGAAGAAACAAGGATTTCTCCAAGTATCATGATGACCCTTATAGGGGTGGGTGGTAATATTGTGATGATGAGAAGGGCAAGGAGTGGGAGGGCAGCTTCTGGAATTCCATTAGTTCTGTTTCTTTATGTGAATATCAGTTACACTGGTGTGTTCACTTTTTAAAAATGCATACACTTATGGTGTGTTCCACAGTTTTATGCAATAATAGCCACATTCCTCAGTTTCTATGAAATTAGTTATTTGTTCTGTTTGCAAAGAATAACTTTGAAGAATAACTTTTCTTAACAATAACTTTTGTTAAAACGAATGTGGGAAAATATATTCATTTTACATTCTAAATTTATTGCAATGTTTTCATTGCAAAAGCAAAGTGCTTGGGGATATATTAATAACAACTTTATTAAATATAAGCTTTGCATACTTAGGGGGAAAAATCCACAAACATGAAGAGAATGCCTATGCCTAGATCATGTTGGCAACTAATTAGAGTAGATTTCAACAAATCATATTTAAATGCCTCTGAAGTTGGCATGGCTCATCTAACTAGTTTTCCATAATCTTGGGACCCAATTTTTCTTTTTTAGTGTGAAATTATTAAATTTAAATAAAGTAATTATACCATGAAACTTCAAAATCACAAAAGCTATCAGCAAAATGTCTGCTAAATGGCTTTGGATGTGCTAAGTAAGTATGCCCAAAAGTGCTTTAGACAAGGCTAAAACAAGTCAAAATCAGGACAACTTTTCTAGGAATAGGAAAGGCAAACATAAAGAAAGTCACAGAGACATTCAGGTCACTGTTGATCCAGTATGTTAAGATTCCTAATTTTCCCCAAACCTTAGTTTTCTTATCTGTTGAATGGGCATCCTTATACTAACTTCTTGGTTGATTTGAGATGAGAGAAAGCAATGAGCTTTGCAGTACCACGAAGAGCACCATGAAACCCTTAGAACAGTTATTTGAAAAGTATAACTGTTCTTCAAATGTTATTTCTTTTCCTCAATGTATTTAAATGTGTAAGTGAGAAAGCATTTTAAGCAGATTGATAATTTTAACTCTTATTTATAAATCATTTCTTATTTCCTAATATGACATTTTAAAATCACATCCTAATTTGTGTGATCAATTCAAATGCTGTTGCTATTGTTTATAATCACCAGTTTAAATGTGCAAATTATTTATTCAATATATCATTATGAGTTAGTCCTATTGTCTCATGTCTTCCAAGCAAACATAGTTGTTGTTTTTTTAATTTTGCCTCAGTCCTACAAGTGATTTGAACTTTTATGCCACTGTCTATAAATCATTCATTCAACAAATATTTCTTATTAATAACTTATTATGAGGAAAAATATTGTATGTTTTCATTTAAAATCTTATATATTTTAGTTTCCTCAAAGTGTATTCTTTCTATTGAATTGTATGGAATGAAACTGCATGTGAAACATACAATAGCTTTGTTAACATATTTTTCAAAATGCTAGCACTGTGAGCACGTGTGTCAGCATGGAACAGAGGTCTCTGCAAGGAGTCTTGTGTAACTGTGGCCCGCCTGCCACACCCCTCTGCTCTGACCTCTGGGAGGACAGCTGTGTGGTTGATGCTGTCAATTTATTCCATGTCCATCAACCAGAGTTGAAGTGGCATTTGATGATTTCATTCACTGGGATTCTGTGGGCTTTTGACCTTGAACTTTGCAAACTTGTGACTTATTTTTCTTTTGCAATCTTTGCCAGGTTGTCTTAAAGAAGAATTTCATTTTACTGTCAAAAGAAAATTGCTTTCAGTTCTTTCATGTGTCAAAATCCTGTCATTTCTGCAGGAGTGGCCCGTTGTGACTCAGGCTGTGAGGTTAGGCTTGATTTTATTGTCACTTTCTTTTCTTCCAGCTATAAGAGCACCCCTCCTCTGACTTCTTTATGTGTGTCACAGTGGGTATTGTTACATAATTGCTTTAATGAAGAATGTGAGCTGTTTTATCCTCTTAGGTTCTACTTGTCAGAGATAACTCTGCAACAAAACTTTTCCAATCCCTAAAGGTTTTATTTGACATTCTGGTGGGCTATTTGAAACACTTTATTTAAAATAAATAAATGTATGTTGATTGATTGATTGATTGGTGAGAATCTGGCTCTCTTTTTCTTAGAGTCTATGTGAACTCTAAATCATGGTGAAGAAGGAATATATGAATCTTTCAAACATCTCAGATTTCAGTGAATATAAGATTATCTCATTCTTTTGCAGTGTCTCTATAAAGCTTTTTCTTTGTTCTTCTTAAAGACAATGCATGTGCCTCTGTTGAGAAACACAAAATTAAATCTCAAATCCTTCAAGGAAAGACTGTTTTTTTTTAACTTGTTAGTTATTTAATTCACTTTACATGTGTTAAAATTTTATCAGTACTGTAGCCTTAAAAAATAAAAAATGGAACTGCCTTATGATACAGTGATTCCACTTCTGGGGATTTATCCAAAGAAACTTGAAACCCTAATTCAAAAGAATACACACTCACCTATGTTCATTACAGCATTATTTACAATAACTAACCTTTGGAAGGTGTCCAAGTGTCCATCAGTAGATGAGTGGATAAAAAAGCTGTGGTACATTTACACATGGGATACTACTCTGTTGTAAAAAGGAAGATAATTTTACCCTTTGAGATTGCATGGTTGGACCGGGGGAACATTATGCTAAATAAAATAAGCCAATCAGAGAAAGACAAATACTGTATGATTTCATTCATATATGGAATTTAATGAGCAAACTGAACCACCACACAAAACAGAGACAAAATCATAGCTAGAGAACAGGCAGGCAACTTTAGTTGGGAGAGGAGTTTTGGGGGAGTGTGTGTGGAGGGGACTGAGCAAAAACTAAAAAAAAAAAAAGAGAACTCATGGACATGGATGACAGTGTGGTGATTCTGGGGGCAGTAAATGGGGGTAGAAGAGGGCATAGAGGAGATAAATGGTGATGAAAACAAATAAGTAAAATGTTATTTGCATCAGAATGGAAAATAAAGCTAGTCTCATTTACCCCAGGCACAACCATCTCTTATCTCCACATCTGAGCAGAGCACTATTCTCACTCACACAAAACATTCTCGCAAAGGAAACCCAAGTCATCCCCCAGGCCTACTGTGTCCGGGTACCTCTGCAGCTCTGTCACCATTGCAGAGTCTGAAGGAAGTCGTTGGCAGTCAAACACACAGACCAACATGAGAAGATGCTTATGTCTCTCTGAGGTGTCACACTTCTAAGTCTCTCCTTGCTCAGAGCAAAAGATAAACCATTAGCCTGTTAACTTAGTATATTTTGAGAACCAGGTGGCAATTTCTTGAGTAGGCCTCCATATGTCTTAGTTGGCATAACTTCCAGAGGCTCCATGTTACATCCACCGTGGCAAATTGTGCCATAGAATAACAGTCCTGCATTGAGTCAAGAGACCCCTGCTCTGCTGTTACAGAAAACTGAAGAAGAACAAAGCAATACCAGAGAGAATGAGTTACATTTATTACGTGTGGTTCCAGAGGAAAATGTCTCTCAAATTCTGGGCCCCAACATGCAGGAATTTTCCCTATTTATATGTTTTTACCTTCTTTGTCTCCCAAATATGGAGACAAATTTCTGGCCCGTTTTGCAAGTTCTTAAAGAGCCCTTATGTGCTGATCCTTAAGACCTTAACCAGAGGCCTAGCCTGGCGCCAGCACTGATAACCTTGTCTGGGGAAGGTTTAATGGCCTTGCTGAAATGGGAGTAGTCTTATCAAGCAAGAATTTACAGAAGCCAATTAGCAGGGTTAAAATTTCAAACAGCAGTTTTCATATAAGACGGATGCTTCACTGCCAGGAACCTGAAAACAATTCATCCTCGGAAAAAAAAACTTCATTTTAAAAACATCAGTTAGGTCTCTAAGGTGCTAATATATGATTCTATCGGATTCATCAGTGTCAACATACTAGATAAAGATAATATCATGAAGGGAATATATTGTTCTAGGCTCTTGCAGGGCACTGATCGTTAGAAAAAAGAAAAACCTTTTAAAGAACAGTTTTAGATTTACCTCAAAATTTAAGGTGAGGTAAGGAGATTTATTATATTCTCTCTTCCC